AAAAAAAATTCAAACTATAAACAGAGATCTTAAAACTGATAATGCAGAAACTGCTCCTGGTAAAATTATGATTACCTTTTTAAGAACCATCTCTTTTAGCAAGTTTTCACCTTGTGAGGAGATTGTTTTACTTTCACTTAAAGATAAAAACAATAGGCAGGAATATGGAAGAACCGTTTCAGCTGTTGGCATGCCTGTAACATAATGTTGCTTTACCAGCAAAACAATTTCACAGAAAAACTAAAAGAGAACATTGCTAATGTTAATATTAGCTTCTTGCATACTTGTAACCTTATTAGACTATACCCTTTCTTGTCCAACCTTTAATTATTTTCTCACAGTGACTCATTGGTTTGGGTGTCTAACAATCATTACGCAGCGCTCAGAAGGCAGGGAGAACTTTTGGTATTAAAAAGATTGATTCAAAATCTAAAGTTATCAGACCTAATGAAAGTGAGCATTCTGTGGCCTTCTAAACCTTTCTGTGATTGTTGAATAGGCATTCACATTTAGCTAAAACTAGCATAGAACTAAGTAAACCTGAAACACATTTAGCTATTTTATTGTGCATAGCTTATAAATGATTTCCTAAAATCATACATTAATGACCAGTTATCAGCACAGACATCTCTCACAGCTTTTGATGTTTTGATGCTGTATTACTGAATTATTTCCTTCAAACTATTTATCAAATGTGACATGTACAGTACAGAAATACCAGAAAAACATGTTTGAAACTTTATTAAACCATTATAGTATGTCTGATAACCGCAATATGAAATCTGGTCTACAAATGAATAAAAGTTTTTGTACGACATGAGAAATTATATCATAACTTGTAGAAAGTCTTATCTAAAAATGATGCAGAAAAACTGGTTCATGCATTTGTCACGTCTAGACTGGACATTTGCAATGGTTTGTCTGTGTGTCCAAATACTTCTTTAAAAACTCTTCAGTTGATCCAAAATGCTGCTGCCAGAGTCTTAACTGGAGTTAGTAGAAAATATCATATATCTCCAGTTTGAGCTTCTCTCCACTAGCTCCCTGTCAAATCCATAATTTAATTCAAAATCTCACTGCTACAAAGCTCTCAACAACCTAGCTCCATTTTATATTACAGATCTTATTGTTCCATATTTTCTTTGCTCTCAGACTGCAGGCTTACTCGCAGTTCCTAGAGTTTCCAAAAGCAGAATGGGAGGAAGATCTTTCAGTTATCAGGCTCGTCTCTTGTGGAACCAACTTCCAGTTTCTGTCTGTGAATCTGACACATTGTCCAGTTTTAAGGCTGGGTTTAAGACTTTCCTTTTTAATAAACCCTATAGTTAGGGTTGGCTTGTTATGCTTCCATAAGTTTAGACTACTAGAGGTCAATTTGTCCTCTAGTAGTCTAAACTTATTTCTTTAAATAACTTGCTAAAATTGAATAGTTTTCATTTGATGCCATTTCAATCTTAACATGTGATTCTTGACCTGCCATTGTGTATCTGTTCCTCTCAAACCCAGCTGGTCGAAGCAGAAGACCGCTTGTCCTGAGCCTGGTTCTGCTAAAGGTTTCTTTCTCATGAGGGAGTTTTTCCTTCCCACTGTCGCCTTCATGCTTGCTCAAGATGAGAGTTCTGTGATGGAGTTAGGCTCAAAGCAGTCTGCTCCTCAGATAAATAATGTTAATTATTATTTTTATACATGAGTGTTTCTGTTCAGTGCCCTGAGATGACTTCTGTTGTGACTTGGTGTTGTATAAATAAACTGAATTGAACTGAACTGAATAGAAAATTTGAAAGTGTTTAGTTATCTTGAACATCTCAAATTCATTATGTGACAGACTGGTAAGTGGTTTTTGGCGGTGCTGTTCCTGCAACACAGGCACGTTGTTTTAACATTCTTCACATTGTTCGAGCTTTGAGTCATCTCAACATTCCTTGTTGAGGTGAAACTTGAGTACAGTGGACCGCGCCGCGGCTTTTACTGTAAGACTTTTAAATGCTAAGTGCAAGTTTTTGAGCAAGCTTTGCTAAGTGAATATTAGTTTTCAATATAAAATTTTATAGCATTAGGAATGTTGACAAACAAATGTAACAATTTATTTTATGCAAAAACAACTGTCTGCAAAAATAAACATTTGTTAGTAACTCATAAAAATATATTTGAGATACCACAAAAAAAGGTATTGGCAAGTGTGTTACGTAAAAGTTTTCTATAACTAAAAAGTCTGTTTTTAAAAAGAGCATTTATAAAATGCTGATGGCAGAACATGTTGGAAACAATACATTATTTTAAAAAGACTATCAGCCACATGTTTTATTCCTTAATTACCTTAAAATAATGCACATTAAAACAGATTTATGGCTTTTTTTCAACAAATAATTCCCCTTCTGCAATAACTCAACACAAAACTATAAACACTCAATCTGTCTGGCAACCATAAAGCTACTTTAATATGAATTAGACCAGATTTTCAGACGTAACACGTTCTGTTATAAGATCAATGTGATTTATAAAAGACAGTTATTTTTTTAACTCTAGTAATAACACGACTAAGTTAAAAGAACTGAGAAACGTGCACCCAGAAGACGTATAATGCACAAAAACTACAGAAATTGTCGTTCTTTTAAAAAATACCACTTTTTTGGTGTTTTTCTTGTTTAAATACAGTTGAGCTGCTGCTTAATATCTGCGAGGTATTTCATGGATGATATAATGTAACTGCTTTCTTTGATTTTTACCCTGCTTTTTATGTTTTGTTCATCTCTTTTTCGTAGGGACTGGGGAAAGTGGGAAGAGCACCTTCATAAAACAGATGAGGATCATCCACGGCAAAGGATACAACGATAATGACAGGAAAGGGTTCACTCGGATGGTGTTTCAGAACGTCATCATAGCCGTCCAGGCGCTAATCGAAGCCATGAAGACTCTAAAGATTGATTATGTTGATGACCAGAACATTGTAAGAAATTGGACTTTTCCTATTAGCGCCAGTATTGTCTAAATGTCCCTGTAAAAGAGCAACACGGGTCTCAAAATCTTCTTCGAGTCTTCTCGGTGATGGAAGACTAATCAAGTTGCTGCCACAAGTTTTCACTTTTCCCCACAGGTTAACTTGTTTGAGTACAAATAATCCCACCCCCCCTTTCCTTTTTTGATTACACACCTTAGAATAAATCCACCATGCAGAGGATGGAGTAGTTTAATATCATTCATTCATTTATTATTTATTTATACATGTTAGTCTCATTGAGCCTCAAGGACTCATTTACAAGAGAGACCTGTTTTAAACAAAGAACACAGATGAGGTACAGACAACAATAGATAATCATATAAAATGAAAAGTAAATAAAATAAATTGTACAAAAATGAACCAAAAACTAAAACAGGAACAGACTAGTGCATCTCAAACATGTTGGATCTACAGCAGCCCTTGAGTTCAGCCAATAAAACAAAACCTGCTTTTGACCGTAGATTAATCGTTCTATCCCTTTTTTTCCGCGTTGCAGTTTTGCAGTTATCACAGCGAACAGTTCAACAACTAAATAAAGGTCAGAATTAATAATAAAACAATGCGCAGTGTGGTGTAACCGCCTGCAGATTACTATATTTTAGACTCAGCAGAAGTGAACAGAAAGCAGAGAATCTGTGCATAAAATATAAACTCCGTCCTTGGTCGTTATACAAACTATTCAAGTATTTTATTTGATAGAAATATGTGATGTACTTTATTTTCTCCCGGCCACACTCTGCTTCTACTTTTAGATTTAGTTTTGTGTCAAATTGATGAAAATGTGACCGGTTGTTCACTGAAAGCTGCAGTTTCTCATTCTTGAAGAACGTATCTACAGTAGATCTCTGTTCGGAGCTTGGAAGTTGAAGCTACAATGGGCCCAGTACAAGTTTTAAAGTCCCGCCTCCTCTCATGATAAAATAACAGGATGTACAGTATATACTATGACATGAACTTTCCCTTAGCAAAAAGTAGTTTATTTAAGTGTAGTACAAGTATACTTATTTTACACTAAAAATGAGGTAGTGTACTTGAAGTTTACTTTTTATAAACTTTATTTGATATACTTAAAAATAGTATAAAAATATCCCAATTTAGTCCAAACAAGTGTTAAATCAGCATACTTCTAGTACACTACAAGTACGGTGTGTAGTATGTGATATACTTAACTTAAAGTATACTTGCAAAAATAAACTTCAAATATACTACTTTTTGTAAAGGGTTTGTTGACGTCCACACATCTGTAGGAAAAAGTGCTTCAAATATAGTTTTTGTTTATTACTTTCTGTATTTTTTTTTTCTTTTGTGTGTATGTGTCAGAACCATGCAGAGAAACTGAGCCAAGTTGAATTAACTGATGTGCGCACGTTGGAGTCCTGGCAGGTGGAGTCCATTAAACGAGTGTGGAACGACCACGGTGTGCAATGGTGTTACGACCGCAGGAGGGAGTTCCAGTTGTCAGACTCTGCTAAATAGTAGGCTCTTCTCATGTCTGATTTTAATTTTAGAGCTTTATCCTATCGTTGTGAACTTAACTAGTTTTCAAGTATGATTATTGCAGAAAAATAAACATATGGCTGTAAGATGTACCAGTTTCTGTACAAGTTTTTGTCCAAATAAATGTGTTGAACTGGAATTGTTATGTTTTAGTTATCTGGGTGACCTGGACAGGATCGCAGTCCCAGGGTACATTCCTACTGTGATGGACATTTTGAGGGTCCGCGTTCCCACCACAGGCATCATAGAACATACATTTGACATGTCAAAAGCCGTCTTCAGGTACAATTTTTATTTTTGATACTTGACTTGTATAAATGTAAAAAATATATGAACAATTCCTGTTTGAAACTTTGTTTACATTAAACTAAGACACCTTCTGACCAAAAGCAACAGCAACACAGCTGCTTTCTGATACCCTTCATTAGCACTGTATATGCCACAACACTTCTTTAAATTTTATTCAGGTGGGGACATAAATAAAAACTAAGTTTGGCCTTATAGCCATTGGATAATTTACTGACCTGGCATCTCCAAAATCCACTCCAACTGCTCCCATCTGAACCAGAAGTAGCCGGAAAAATGAACTTTTTCACAAGACTGATTTCCCCCCAATCCTCTTAAGTATAGTGTCATGCACACATGCACAATCACATGCACACTAATGCAGGTTTGGTGGATGCTGCTTTTGGTCTGAAAGATCAATCAACTCAAGCTTTAACTGTAAAGACTTGAAACTTACATTTGTTTTGCCAAGCTTTTAGCAAAAAGCCAAAATGTACATGAAAGTGCATTGTTTGTGTTTTTAGGATGGTGGATGTGGGAGGCCAGCGTTCAGAAAGGAAAAAATGGATCCACTGTTTTGAAAATGTTACCTCCATCATATTCCTGGTAGCCCTCAGTGAATACGATCAAGTCCTTTATGAGAGCAAAGATGATGTACGCTCGAAGGCCATGTCTACCAGTTAATCAATTAAAAAATGCTAGATTTTTATTTTCTTTCAATCAGACTGTCCATATCTGCTGTTTTTAGAACCGACTGCGAGAGAGCCTTGAGCTGTTCAGGACCATCGTCACATCTAACTGGTTTCAGGATTCGTCCACCATCCTATTTTTGAATAAAACGGACCTGCTACAGGAGAAAATCACACATTCACATTTGGCCACCTACTTCCCAGACTACAATGGTAAACTATGTTCTTCTCCATGCTTAAATCTTTTTAATTTATCAAAAAGCAAAACCAATTTGTTTAGAGACCACATTACTGTAACAAAAACTACAAATAAATTAATAAAATGGAATCTGTGATTGAAGGAACAATAGAAAGTGTGGGATTTTTTTGTTATGCAATTTAATAGCACCTTTGAAATTCAGACTATGAATACTGCTCATTTACTCTAACTCTGACCCCTTTACCTCCCACAGGGCCTCAATGTAATGCAGAGACAGCAAAAAAGTTCATTCAAAGTATGTACATTCAGCGGCACGCTGGACGTCATAAATCCCTCTACACCCACTTCACCTGCGCTACGGACACGGAGAACATCCGAGTTGTCTTCAAAGCGGTCAAAGATACACTCCTCCAAGAGAACCTTGAACTTTTCAGCCTTGGATAAGGGAAAACAAGGAGAGAATGCCACATTTAGCAAGAGACAAAAACCAAGCCACTATCACGTTTTAGAAGTTTTAATAATGTGCCATTAATTAGGTGTTGTCAATTTTAGAATATTTAAACTTGAAAAATAAATAAAAGGAATTCAATAACAGGTTGGGAATTTCTCTCTATTCTCTCAGGAAAAAAAGTGCCCCACTGTGGCAACATTTGGTTTATCAGAATGCGTAAAAGATTAAAATTATTTTTGCTGGATACAACAGTATAGCTGTTATTATGGCTCTTTTTGTGTTGCACAATAGTTTAAAACAGTAGATGGTGTGAGATTGTTTGAACAAAGTCCTGTGGAGGAAGAATTCCACTCACCCTGCTTTACAGCTTCAAGACGAGGAAGTTAAAGTTAAAGCAAATTGCCCCTTGGGGATAATAAAGATTCTTGAACTTGAACTTAAAGTTCACCCTGAAGGCAAAGAGTACTTTAATTTATTATTTGAATGTTTTATTCTGTAATAATGCTAACATTTGTGAAAAACAGTTATTTTTTTGTAATTCTCAGACTTTAACAAAATACAGATGATAAATCCACTTGTGTATTGTGAAATCTGAAATGTGTTGTATCTTTAGTCACCATATATTATCAGCTTTGTGATTGGGTTAAATATTTAAAACATCCCTACGAACAAGCAAAAATAGGGAACATATTGGAAGTAGCTGTTTAAACAGTGGGATGATGAGTAGAAGATGTCTTACTTGGTTTAGTCTCTTTTCTTGCAGCAAATGGTAAAACTTGTGAATATTAGTCAAACATAGTTATTCAGGTTTTCTGTCTACTTTTTGTTGAGTTGCTGCATAGCATAGTGAGGAAAGCCACTTTGCAAACACTCAATTCACTGTAGCAAGATAATGACACACAAATGACCACTCATATGATTAAATGCTAAGTTGCACCTTCTGAGGAAATTTCTCTGATAAATCTAGCTTTGTTGTGGAGCATCCCTCACTGGTAGGGAAGGATCCTAACCTTGTTTTGGAGAGTGATGTATTTACAGGCTCCAATAGGTCCCATCCCATTTACAAAATATATTATTTTTAACTTTCATGTAGTTCATTAATACACAAGAAAAATGGGTTTATAATTCAGCCTTGTGGGATGCCCATTTCAGAGTTTTAAAAGTTTTGACTTAATTTCAGTAACTTTGTTCTCTATTTTTTAGACATTATTTGAACTAGTAAAAAGCTTTGTTAATGAATTTCAAGTTTAGATATTGAAACATTTCCTAGATCAGAGTCTTAATAATGTGTAGAATAATGCTCTGACTATATTGCCATCATCAATGATTTAATAAAAATAAAAAGACAGGTAGCCAGTTCTGTTGAATGTCCTAGACAAAACTCGCACTGTGTTGGATTAAGTTTTGTTTTAATTTCTATCAAGAAACAAATGGATTGCTCTGCCACTGACTTTTTAGTCAGGCTGAATATGGCAGGTCAGAAGTGATTCAGCTATAGTCGCATACTTGGTCAAAATTACCAGACTTCAAATTGGAATATATTTTGTATAATTATCAGGTAAGTCTATACATTTCAAGAAAAAAATATCAAATCTGGCTTATTGGTTTATTCAACATGTTAAATCCTCTTCCGATTGGATCATACGGGGTACCTTCAGTGGACTGAATTGTCTATAGACAAGATGGAGAAACCACCAACTGCTTCCCATAATGTTTTTTGGTGTATGAGGTGAATACAAAAGTGTAGTATATATAGTGTAAATATAACATATTTATACATTTAAAGCACTATTTAAGTGTGAGAATGAGTAAATTAAAAACACTGTAAAATGTTTCCAGAACCCAGAGAACTTAGAAAAAAACTGCAAGTGTAGACCAGTTACCATTTAATAACTTTTTTTATCCAACTGTCATGCGTCTTTAACCTTTAATTTCCTCTCAATTGCTCAGATCCAAAAACTATCACTATATTTTCTAAATTTAAAACAAATGTGTCATCCAAGTTTTTATGCCGTTAAGAAATTATTTTAGTCCAATTATCTGAAATTACTATATTTTTATATGAAGCCAGATTAGTTAAGTATCATATTAATAACAATAAAAATGTCTTCTGTGCTGTCTAATAACTGCCTAATGTAAGCCTGTATAGAGTAAAAACTATAGATCCAAGCATCAGACCTTGTGGAACACCTTGACTAATGCATGAGGAAGGGTCACTGCATAATTTATGTAAACAAACGGGAATCTGTTGGAAAAAACAAAAGACTTAAACCAGCCTGGTGCTCCCCCACCTCCACCCCTTGCCCACCTTCACCCCTTGCCCATTCTTCTTAACTAGAAGGTACTAACATGTTAATTTATCAGAAAAAAAAACGCTTGTACTGTATCAGTCTGCTTTGGTCCTTGTCCCTCCAATACTGGCCCTTAAATAGCCATTTTATCCCAATTTTGGGTAGAAAACCTAACTCATATGCTAAGTCAAACTGATAACCTAACTGTGCCTAAAGTACCTAAGTATAAATTTGGAGGTGTTTTGAACCTAGCAGTTTTTAGTGTACAACAGAAAAAACTAACTTTTTAAAAACTTTACTTGAAACCTCACATCAAAAGAACTAAACTAACAAGATTTTTTTATGTTATGTTAAGCAGCTGCAAGGTACTGATTAACAACAATCTGTTTTATACACCCCCACTTCACACTGATGGGTTCAGTGTGGAAATGACCTTTGCACTAAAGAACAGTCAGCTACGAGGACCGTCTGGTGCTGATCTTCCTGTTTAACCGGTTGGACCGAGTTGGGTAAGTAGCAAATACTTTCAGTGAGCTTCGATTTGTAGATACATTAAAGGAAAGAATATCAAGACACTATTGAGCATGCTTCAGGATATCAAGACACTATTGTTTTTAAGAACTTAATTTTTATAGTTCGGTTTATACAGACAAAAAAGAACAGTGGAATGAGAGACTGCAGGTAGATGCCTTGTATTTGTTTTTTCTTGTATGTAGAAAATACTGCACATAGCTGAGACAATGTTCTTGTCTGGCTGTTCTCACTACCCCTTGAGTCCAGAGGGAAAATAAAATTGTGTTGCTGCACAGCCAAGTGCAAAAAGCACACTCCTATCACAGGTAGTAATAACACTGCTGTGCAAACACTCTCAGAGATGATCCCCTCCAGTCAAAAATAATGACACACAAACACACCCTCCTATATATACCCGTTCTGTAGCACCGCCTGAGGAATCTGCTCCATTGAGAGCTGCAATAGCAGGTGATGCCCTTATTTGGTACTGGCCCAGATCATGTGATCACAAAATGGTGGAAGCTGTGAGCTGTTTTTAAGCTGAGCATCTCCATCGAGAGGCTTGAAGCAGGAAACAGGCTCTGAGACACAAAGGCGCAGAGATTCCTGAGCCCAAGCAGTGGTGAGTAGACTGTTTTTATTCTGAGAAGATAAGAGGAGGAGAAAGAGGTATATGCTTTGTTTTTTTTTATTATTTCCTCTCTCACAGCCAGCAGACAGGAAGCAAGAGGGAGGGAGGGGCTGCTGTCATCAGCACTGTGGTCCTGTGCTGTGATGTGGAAGCAGATCTGAAGCAGCTCAGCATCCTCCATGAAGAATGCACTCAAGATGCCATTTTTATTAGATTCTAGAGTTTAGATCAGTGCTCCAGAGAGGTTACATATGGATGTATGTGCATTTTGTGTGTGCATGCATACACACAGCATAATCAACGCAGTCTAATCATCATTACAGTCTTCTTAACTGCGCAGGAATCACAGAAACATTAAGCATTTCTCTGTTTCTTCTGCTAATGCGATAACAATTCCACCCGTGTGCAGAAAGCCCACTGAGAAGAAACAAGGATATTTTTTTTTTTTCTTCCCTTTCATGCGAGTGAACGCTCGTCATGTGACTCGCTGAATTTGCATCTCTGCCCAATCTGTGGCCAGGCAAGCGTGCAGTCTTTTGTTTTGAATCAGCACTAAGCAACGAGGGAGGGGAGGGTGAGACAAGCTTGTCATGATGTAACAAGCTCCCCCACTTTGCCATTCTTCACGCACCACTCGAAGCGTCACCTCCCCCGTTTTGAACAGAAGGGGAGCAAAAATGACCTTTTAACCTCAACGTTGGCTTATTTTCTTCATCCACCTCCCATCTCCGCTTTTTCCTTTACTCCCCCTGTTCTCTGTCCAAAATGAAAGTCCATTTTATTTTACTGCCTAAATCAATACACAAGTGAAGACATGCCAGTGTCTTCAGGCTGAGGAAGGTCTTGTAGTTATGCTTTCTAACATAGCCAGGCTGAAAGAGGATTTGTGGCACTGCTGATGTTGTTACTGTGGAGTAGAGCTAAGATAATAGTTTTAAACATGAACTACTAACAGAAATTAATCTTGGGTGTTTGAACATTAAAATTAGCTGGACAACAACCATGAACACAGAAACAATATCATTTTAATTGATCTGCAAGAACAGGCAGTATTTACATAAAAAAACATTGAGATCTAGGTTATCTGATTCAGTCATGTTTAGTTGTACATAAAATGACAGGATCAGCTCAAATAACATTAAACTGCCTTTGATAATTTAAGGCTTTATGAAGAGTTTAACTTTGTGATTTCAGGAATAATGCCCTGGTTGACGTCTGTCACTGAAGACAAAAGTAAGATTTTTTTTTGCCAGTGTGCGTTTGTCTGGTGTGTTAGTAAAATAGATCATGAACCAGCAACTGGATTTTAATGGAATTTTCAGAAAACAATAATTGGATGAACATCAAAAACTGATTAACATTTGGAGTTAACTCAATTGAAGATTGCTGGTGCAGCTATGTAATATTAGCCAAGCCAACACTGGCTATAACCCTACTATTTTTACTGATATCAAGCTAAAATGAACTGTACTATACTGTACTGTACTTAGCTGAGAGTTGTCCCTAATACATACTCTGAGCACAAAACTATTGCACAAGATCTGTTTTTAAACTTTGCCCTAACTAACCAACTCTTCCTGACTTTTAGCAAAACATCTCATTAGCCACTGAGATTTTAATTAAACTTTCAAAAACTTGACAGATCATATGTAAGAATTTTAACCAAAGTTTTGAAGTTTATGTGGTAAACTAAACCTAATGAACTAACAAACTAACAAATGAAGAAATGAAGAAATGAACAAATGAACAAACTAACAAACTAACTAAACTTTGAGCTCAAGTTATAAAGGAAAAGTAAAAGTAAAACATAGTTTCTTAGATTTTCTGATAGTTCCAGTTTTTCAAGACTTTATAGTAATTCAATTAGGTTTTTTCATGGGGTCAGTTTTTAACAGACATTATCCATTCAAATCCACTTAGTGTTTTTTTCCCCTCAATTCCGTTCGGTGCATTTTATTTGAAGTTCACTCTTCCATTCCTTATCTGCCACTTGTTCTGGAGCCGTATCACAGAGGCAGCAACTGTAACAGGGAGGGCTAGACATCTTTTTCCCCAGCTACCACTTCCAGCTCTTCTGGGTGATTTTCAAGGTATTGCTAAGCCAGTCAAGAAAAATCCGTCCAAAAGACCTGACTTAACTTTTTTGGATAATTTGTCCAGCTTGTTCTAAGTCTACACCAGGGTCTCCTTCTAGTCAGACAAGCCCTAGGGATGCATCCAGGGGGCATTCTCATCAGATTCCCAAATCACCTCAACTGGCTCCTTTCAAAGTGGAGGAAGAGCATCTTTACTGGATAACCAAACTTCTCACCTTATCTCTAAGGGAGAGTTCAGCCACCCTGTGGAGAAAACTCATTTTGACCGACTGTATCCACAATTTCATTCTTTTGGTCACTACCCAGAGTTAGTGACCATAGGCGAGGGTAGTAATGTAGCTCGACAAGTAAACGGAGAGTTTTATCTTGTAGCTTAGCTCCCTCTTTACCACAATGGGTTGGTATGGAGTACTCAGTACTTCAGAAGCTGCACTGATCCATCTGTTGATCTTGCACATATTGCATTCCACCCTTTTACAATTGAAGACTATGGCATCTGAATTAGAGGTGCTGATCTTGATCCCAGGGCAACATGGTTAAATGTCATCTCCAAGTCCACAAAACACATGTAGACTGGTTGAAAAAAAGGCTTTTGGTCATTTCTGTCTCTATTGTCTGATTTTTTTTTACCTCTTACAGGTCCTCCTGGGGATGGACCTTGCATCAGAGAGTAAAATGAGTTCAGAGGGAGATGACTGCCGACCAGGTAAGTGCAAATCAAATACTTTAAAAACCTTCATCTTGCAAGTCAACATATTAACTTTTTTGTACTGTAATGTTTTTTTTCCACTGTAGTACCTCCTACTTCTCTACCCCTGCAAGGAGGTTCTTCACAGAGGAAAAAACTTTCTGCTCCTCGTATCAGCTTGTCACTGGACCAGAGCGAGGATGATTTCGGGGAGACACCAGATGATCTCGACATTAATGTGGATGACCTTGACACTCCAGATGAGGGCGATTATTTTGACTACACCGACCATGAAACAGACTGGGAAGGTGAGTCAAAAATAAACAAAAATGAGTAAAGTTCCTTATGTTCCTTAGTTATTTCTATCAGTAATTCTCCAGTAATTCAATAATAGATAAGCTCCACCTTGTTCTTGTTCAGGACCTGATATTGTGCTCACTATCATGACTTTGTGTGCAACATACAATAGACAAACTGAACACAATGACTGTTATAAGTATATGTTTTATTTCTGAATCAGATCCCAGTGCCATTAATAGGAGTGACAAAGATGACACCTACAACACAATTCCAACCTACAGTGCAGAGGAGGAGCGCCAAGATGGCAGGCTTTGGAGGACTGTCATCATCGGAGAGCAGGAGCACCGCATCAACATGAAGATCATTGAGCCTTACATGAAAGTTATCTCCCATGGAGGTGATCATTTTCAGATTTTTTTGAAGAGTCTGTAGGTGCTAGGCTAGATTCCTTGAACAATTCTGTTAATAATTTAGTGTATAAAATTATCCAAATCTGAAATAGTGGTAGAAATGGATGTAACTGGTTGTGAATTCTTGACCTTCCTGCAGCTGGAGGGTTAAACCACCTCTATTTATTTAGATTTTACTTTAAATACAATAGAATTTATTGTTACTTGTAAAACACATTTGAAATTATTTGTCTTTTTTAGTTGAAAGGCCAGACTAAGTGGAGAGTAATGGTTGTTAAAAAAAAACTCAGCAGGGTTAGATTATTCCCAGATTAAACTGGGACTACTCACCCCACACAATGGAGGCTCTATAGATGCTTTGTCTACTTGGCTCACAACAAGAGAGATGCTTTGGTCTCTTGCATGAAAGCGTGAATTGGAGTGGAGCTGACTGGAAATCAGGCCTAATGTGGCATTGCAGGTTTTAGAAAGTTGAAATCTGAGACCTCCTCTGTTTGAAGTTGGTTTGTTTCATTTGACGTAAATAGCTTCCTTCAACCCCCTATCTAAACCATTTATCTTCTCTGTCCAAAATATGATATTTTGGTCCTCAAAAGAGTGTCTCTCACCCTTGAGGTGTAGGGGGACCGCTGATTCTTGACCCAAAGAGCTGACTCTCTGGTGTTGAGCCATGCGTCAGTGAGGAGGTTGTATAATTTCTCCAATACAGAGGTCTGAACATTCCTTGCAGTCCTGAACTGCAGACACCACACCACTAAGTTTGGGTTTGGAGTTCTATCTTTGGGATGGACCAGACTTTGTCTGAGGATTCTGTTGAGTTTAAAATGTACTGGGATGTTATGATTGGAGGAAATCCTTCAGTTTTTCCCAATACGCAAGCAAAAGGTCTCTCTCCTAAATTAGTCCTCGAGGCGCAATGAGGCTAACCTGCCTAAATAAAGGTTGAATGGATGAATGAAACATATGGAATGACAATGTTTTCACATTTGCTCTTCTTCCTGTTCTTTTATGCTGCTTTAATTAAAAAAAAAGTTTGTTGATTTGACAAAGGCCCAGTTAGGATACAGAGGCAGAGGTCTCAGATTTCAACTTTCAAAAAACTTACAATGCAACATTATAGGCCTTATTCTCAGTCAGCTCCACTCCAACACATTCATGCAGGTGATCAAAACATCTCTCTCCTGAGCCAGGCTGACAAAGAGCCTAATGAGCATGTATATGTAAGTACATAATAAGATCTCTGATGCAGTTTATAAAGCTTGGAACTCCACACATTTCAAACACTTGAATTGATAAAGCCTCCTGAGTTGGAAACAAAATGTCTTCAGCGTCAGAATAGAAGGCCATTTTTTTTATTTTTTTTATATGACCTAGATCATGTGCGTCAAATTCAAGCCACAGGGGAAAATGTGGCCCTGGTTGACATCTTATCTGGCCCCCAAGATGACATGTGAGATATAAAATACTTATATTTCTTGAATTTTTTCAGTAATCTTTGATTATGATGTTAAAAGTACAACAGAGAACATCAAATGAGACCAATCAAACTCTTGTTGAGGAACCTGTGACCAAGAAAAGATGTTGGGTATCTGGTTTGAGTTAATCTAGTTTCTGAAATTTGCCCTTAGTTTGAAAAAGGTTTTAATTTTGGCCCCTTTTATAAGTCAGTTTAACATCCCTGACCTAAATGATTGAGAATGTTCACCAGCATAACTCTGTAAAATGTACTAAAGTAAATTTGATTAAGGTTCAAATCACTAGACAAAGAATAAGAAGGCATTTAAGTTGTTTACAAATATAATAAAATTTAAAAAATCTTTAAATGCCATAATTTTTAGGTTAGTTAGTTTTTTTCTTTAGTGCTACACTCATTTTAGCTACAACCGCATGTCAATATAAAGCTACAACTTCTGACATTTGAAAAGCAAGTTTTTCCTTTCTTTAAAAAAAAAAAGATTTTTAAGATAATTTATCTTAGAGTTATGAGGACAAGCATTTCCCACTTTGCTCATTGCTGCAGGCTCAACTAAAACCCAGCTGCTCTGTGCAAACAGAGATGTTTGTCTCTGAAAAGTCAATATCAGAAGCTCTGTCACAGAGAGAAAAGAATTCTGTCTGAGTGACACCAAATCTGCTGATGAATGGGCTCATGAATAAAAGGAAATTACATTAATCTAAAACGTAGTGAGAGGAAATGGGACAAGGAGACAAATGCACAAAAGAAACTAAGACTGGCAGATTAATAGAACAAAAAATGAGGAAACTAGGGAAGCAATCAAGTTTTCACCAACAAAGACGTTCACTCAAGTTGACTCTTACTATTTTGTTTTTCTGTTTTATTTATTTATTTAATTATAATTCCAGGCTACTATGGTAACGGAGTGAATGCCATCATAGTGTTTGCTGCCTGTTTCCTGCCAGACAGTAATCGAGAGGACTACCATGAAATAATGGAAAACCTTTTCCTGTGAGTACTAATAGACACTTTGTAACACTCATTTCTTAAAAAAGGGCACAATGGCCTTAAATATTGATTATTGCTTTTGTGTAAATCTTCATGTATAACAGGTTTTAGATGATAATAACATGCTAATGAGTAGCATGAAAATCCCTGTTTCCATATTTGTTTAGCATGGCAGCTAACGAGCACTTAGAAATTAAAATTAAACACAATACTGCTTGTTAGACATTTGTTTCTGTGACACTCACAAAGCAGCAACACCATTCACAAACTTGAAACTGTTGGATGATGTATGACACAAAATGGTTCTTATCTTTGACAGGGAATGCTAAACAAAAGTCTGTGCATCCCACATCAGACACCCACTGGGATGGCATCATGATGGCTTGTGCAAATACAAAGCTTGACTTTACTTTCTTCTAATCAGTAGTGGTTACTGCACTCTAAAGAATTATTCCCATTGGACTGTTTAGGGAAGTATTTTCTCTCCCAGCCCTTTTATCTTAAACTTTTATTAATTATCTACCTGCTAGTTTTATTTCTGAAAGTTTTGAATGTGTCTTTGTTCATCAAGTGGCCTGATGAAGTGGCTTCAAACATCTGCTAAGTTCATGGGAAAAACCAAGGCAGACATGTTCCTGTTTTTAGTTTTCTACATCGCCTTACAACCTTGCTCTTTTTGGTTACATTTTCTTAATACCATTTTATTTTCACTTGTTATTCCCAATTCGTATGTATCCTTTATAATTGTCTATTGTTGACCACTGTTGTCATCATTCTTTGTTAAAATCAGGTCTCTCTTATAAATGAGTCTCCGAGACTCAGTGGGATTAACTTGCATAAATAAAGGTTGAATGAATGAACCTAGTTCAGATTCCTCATATTTCCAATATTTACGGACCACCATTTAGGCTGTTCTTTTTATCTAAGGGTTTAGAGGATGTGAATGATGTGCAGTTGACATGATTTCTGATTTACAGCAGCATTTTTGACAGCTGTCAGTTTGGTTTTAGAGAACTTCATATTGTAGGCACCATGCTTGTTAAAGTGACTATGAAGATACTGGTGGGATGAAGAAGTCAACTCGTTCATAGCTTTTGGATGATGCCTTAGACCACTACATTGTTTTCTCTCATTTACAATTAGAGTTGGAATAAAATATTTTACTCTCAGTTTGTTATGCTCATAAAGCACTTTTATTGTCACTTGTTTTAACTTTACATCCTCAGTGACTCAGCTGAGTTGGGGTGTACCACAGGGTTCATATTTTGGAACCTTTTTATTCTTTAGAACCTTAAACTAGCATATCACTAGGCTGCGGCTGTTGGTGACTAGTTAGCATATGGCATTTGTGAGTGAGGCTCATAACATTGTTGTTTGATCTTTGTTTCAAAAAAATTGTGTAACAAATTTTCTTTCATAATTTATTGTACAGCTGTGTATATCTTAAACTTGTCTTGAATCTTTCTTGTTTAATCTTCTTGTATTCTACAGCACCAAAGCTGTATTTTGACACCAAACGTAGATGCATGTAGATTGATTCATAAACATATGCACGACTGTCAACGTGTGTACAAAGAAGTTTGAGGGAATTCAATGTGGGCAATTATGTTGTGACTTTCTAAAAATAGTCTGCACAATATGCAGCCATACGGGTCAATGGTCGCTTTGTTGCAAACAGGAATCAGAGAGACAGCAGCTGAAATTTTTCTAAAATTTCTCACAATTTTTCTGGATTTTTGAGTTGCCAATTAATCCTAAACAGTCACTGTTCAGTGACATACTACCCCTTAGTTATCCTCACAACTTGTGATTTTCACATTAAATCCAGGCTAGCTCAGATTTTCTTTTAATTTAATAATGAGAAGTCAGTTGTCCTCACATGTCTTCAGCTTTTATAGTTTCATTTTTTTTCCATCACTTAATATCAACCAGGCTGCAAGGAATAAAAAAAAGTAACATTTAATTCTAATCTCAGTTTTTAAACTTAAGACAAATTCTCTAGGTATTCTTTTAGTGCTCAGTTATTAAATTATACTGTATTTTGCCTACATTTATCACTATGAAGCATTTTACCTGAGTTTCTGTTGAGGGTCCCTGCTGAATCAAACTGCTGCAGTCAGACTTATTACTGGGACTAAAAGGCACAAAATCATCACTATTGTGCCTTTCATCTCTGCACTGCCTCCCTGTTGGCATTGATTTTAAAATCTTACTGCTCACATTCATAGCCTGGAATGACCTTACCCCTAATTGCATCTCAAACTTATTGACCTGGACTGCTTCCTCTGAAACATGCGAATCCTCAGAAAGTTGCCTTCTAACTATTTCTGGGTCAAAGTTTATAACATAGAACAATGTCTATTTCTGGTCAAGCTATGCTTATTTTTTCTTGTTTGTTCAAAGAAAAAGTTTTATACAGTTAGTGTTTTACTTTAATATTCAGAAAGCATTAAAATATTTAGTAGAAGCAGGTTGTATGACATTTTGCAAATGCTACTTTGTTGATCACCTGCAGCACCTCGGCAAAATTCAGTTTGTGATTGAAATTAGGTGATAGAAATAAAACTTGTTTGCAGAGACCTGCTGTGTTTACAGCTCCACTCTTGTGCTGGCAAAAGGTTTATGTCTGGACACTGTGATTGGGATCCCACAGGCTGTTCTGTGACAGATATCGGGTAAGCCTTGGACATCCAAGAGTTTTTGGATAGAAATGAGAAAATGTAAAACGTAGTGTCTGCAGGTATCAATGCCAGATGGCTCAAAAGTCTGATTCTTTGTGAAGAGTGGTAAACGTGGCTTTGTAGAGAACAGTATGCAGTTTGTCATGAGGAGATGATCTTAAATCGTAAAACAGAGCGAGTCAGCAGTGTAGAACTGTAAGCTGGAAAATGACGTTTGATGAAACGGAGTAAAACTGAGACCAAAGTCAGTAAAGTTAGAGAAGTTACTGAGGAAACTAGCTGACGACATCTTCAACTTTATTTTGAAAGAAAGCCACCAAGTTCCCCGCTGAATGAATGGCCAGGAGGAGGAGATGGTTGTGGAAATGAGAAGAGGAATAAGTAACTATTTCTTGTGGTTTGAAAAAAAGAATGCAATTTTAGAAAAGTAGCTGTGTGACTCGGGCATTTGAGATTGATGTAAAGAAGGAAAGAAGAAGAAATACAAAACATTTCATGAAGCAACACTTGTAGCAATTTCTTGTAGCTGACAGAGGAGATACTTTTCAACATACTGCTGTAGTTGAGTTGCTTTGATTTATAAGAAAAACTGTCTGTTTCTTCACTTTTTTGCATTGAGGATTAAGGTTTCAAGTTTGCATCTCATTTTCACAATTCTGACACACAATTAATGTAACTCATATTGTATAAGATTATCGTACTGTTTTACAAATTGTTTTTATGTTCATGGCTTGATTTATTCTTGTTACTTGCTGGATATTATCATGATTTACACTGTTTTCACCAAGAGTAGACAAACTGACAGCAAGAGTGTAGAACCACTAGACTGAGGAACAGATTCTACCCTGAGGCTGTTAGACTCATTAATATCTAACCAGAATA